GATCTGGCCCTGGTGTCCACTTAACGAAGCCAGATTAGAAGGACAGATTACTGCTGGCTCCGGGGAGGCCTCTGTCACAAGCAATACCTCACTGTGGATCGCACAGACATAATACGATGGCTCTGAGCCAGCCTCGATGTGCCACCTGCCCAGCAGCACCTCCCGGGCGCTGCAGTGACCCCAGGACACTCCCGGGCTGCGCCTACAGGGGACCAGTTCTCTCCCCCAGGGGCTCTGTCCTATTCCCCTCCACCTGCCCATGGGAGTGAATTATGGCATTGGGACCCTTCTGTTACCCACGTCACGTGTGTCTTCCACGAGTCGCCCAAGATCGTGTGCGGGGGGGCAGAATGATTTAAAGAAGCCCAAGTGTTTCTTTCTTTTCTAAGCTGGGAAACCAATAAAAAGACCCGTGGTTGTTGTAAACTCTAGCCAGGCAGATATTTTTCTACCCCCTCTGGGTGGAAGATTTATTTTTCAGAAATCAAAACTCCCTTGCTTTCCTTGGTGTCGTGGTGGTCACCCTAAGACCTCTCCTGCCTTTGCTTCCGGCCTCGCGTCTGACCTTGAGAAAATAACTTCGCACCACCACACTCCATTGTATTCGCCACGTGCTTCTGATGTTTTGACACCCCGAGACCTTGCTGACTCCGGAGAGCCGGCCTCTCCCAGGACCAGCCGCCTCCTCAAGACAGCGAAGGACTCGCCTGCAAGCGTGACCTCCACGTGCAAGCCACTCGATCCAGAGCCCACACCCCGACCGCCCCCTTCCAGGCCACCACATACCTGTCCTCAGCACCCCGGGCCAGGTACCAGACACGAGGGACAGCCCCAGAACCCCAGAGCCCGCTGCAAAACCAGACTCCCACTCCCTCTGCCTCCTGATCAACCGCGGGGCTTCCGCGTGTGGCCCTGCCCGGCACGCGTGCGTGTTCCTCTTGGCAACTGTCTTTGCAATGGCAGTGGCCTCCTGAGCCGTCGGCTTCGCCTCACCTGAGTAACAATAAGCCTCACATTCTACGACATCCACGGACGGTATGAACCCGGGGCCAGGCTGTGGCGATACCGTGAAGCACTCTGCGCCCACGAAGGGGTGGGGACCGTCACAGAATCCCCGCCACTCCCTTCACGCCACTGTGGTGCTCGGGCCCCACAGTGAAACCCCCGAGGGAAATGGTGCCTGCTTGTGGTATTTGCAGTCTCTTGAGACATCTCTTTTTCTTTCTCTTTAAGTATTTTATTTTTTAGAGCAGTTTTAGGTTCTCAGCACAATGGAACAGAATGTGCGGCAGGTCCTCGAATGATGTCGCTTCATTCAATGCCATTGTGATTACGCTGCTGAGCTGCAGTGGGAACCTGACCCTCTTCCCATGCATCGGCCTGTGGGAAGGTCGGTTTCGCTGCGCGTCATTTTGCTGGAAGCCCCAGCACCAACGACGTTACGTGAGAACTTACTGTCCAGTCCCCACACCCCTCCCCCACGAGCTCACAGCCTCCCCATTGTCAAACCCACCAGAGGGGCGTGTCCGTCACCATCGATGAACCCACCGCACAGCCCGATCGCCAGCGTCCACACTTTACGGGAGCGTTCCCTCGCGGTGTGGCACATCTTGTGGGGTTGGGCACACGTGTAATGACACGCGGCCACCATCGGAGTGTCGTGCAGAGCAGCGTCGCTGCCCTGGCCACCCTCTGTGGTCCTCCTCCCTCCCCCCTGACATCTGGCGCCTGCCGACCTTTGCCCTCTCCAAATTTTTGTCGCAGGCCATTTTTACTCTCAGACTTCTTTATCGGGACGCTCACGTTGTACGCGTGCATGACATGGATGAAGGGCTATGCTGTGACTCGCCCGGAAGGGCTGTCAGAGGTTTCACGCGCCACCCTCACGTCCGAGGGACACTTCACACACTGCCGGGTCTGTCAAATCGTGAGGTCCACGTGTAAAGGTAGCGTCAGAGCCGCTTGACGTGCTTTGAGACCTTCCTCTGCTTTCGGTCCTACTCCAAATCTGCAGTCCCCTGAGTTACATAACAATGGGGTCAGAGCGACACGTTCCAATGAGGTGTACGTCGTCTCTGAAGTCCAAAGAGGCCCATTAGGCATTTACCCTACAACGGGGAAGCCTCAAAATTATTACAGTAAGTGAAAGGAGCCCCCCCAAAAGGAGTAACACTGTATGACTCATAGAAAACTCCAGAATATGCAAACAAACCCATAGAGACAGAAAGCAGGCCAGGGGTTACCTGGGGGTTGGGTGTGGGGCCCCAAGAAAGACAAACTACAAAGAAGCCTGAGGAAGTTTGTGGGGTGCCAGGCACGGTCACAGCATTTGACAATATGTAGGTCACGGCACGGCGGGAGGAGCAGAAACCATATGGCAGAGGATGAAGAAGAGAAGACTGGAAGAATGTGAGTCTGTGGGGCTGTCCGGAAGCTACTGGGGACAGGATCAGGAAAAATGCTGGGGTTTTACTGCCGTAACTTTATGGAGCGTCCCCTTGGGAGCACTTTGTGACTCTAGTGCCTTAGCCCACATGCTAGCCCCTCCCCCAGCTCCTCCCCGCCTCCTGATTTTCTCCCCGATGGCATTCATTCACCAATCCACCTTTCCGACAGCTGCCACCCTTTATTTGCCAGAGCGACCACTCCCAGTCTTACTGCATCAGTCCAAACCAAGCTGGCCCATCTGAGAACTCCGACGGCATTCATTACCTGTGACACGTTCGATCCAATTTTACTGAAGCTGAAAGGCACCGTAACGACCTTAAGTGTAACATGGCTTGTGTTCGAACCTCAGCTCTGTCATGCTGTGGCCGTGTGACCTTACTTAGGCAAGTCACTTAGTCGGGTAGAACTGTACCTCTTGTTGTAAATTTGGAGTCAGTGTTTGGAAAGAGCTTAGAACGGTGTTTGCCACATTCTGACGCCTAAGAATGTTAGCAAAAGCCAACCATTACAGAAGGTTTGTGCCCATGCTTCTGAGGCATATGAAGGTGTATGTGGCATTCGCCCCGGCCTGAGGAGCCAGCAACTGCCGTTCAGATTTACACTCTTGTGGCGATCTTCCGCGTGCCCCGGCCCAGCAGCCTCTGCGCTTGCTCAGCCTTGGCATCGAGGCCAGAGAACGTAGATTCTCAAAAAACCACTTTTCAGAACATTGATGCAAGTTGAAAAAATAATGATTGACGGAATTCACTATGATGAAGACAGGAGCCATTCTGGGGAGGGACATGTTAATCTTCCCAGGATTTAGGATTTGCGTTTGAACCGACGAATGGTGGCATGTTGGTAGCTGTGAAAGTACCTTGAGCCTCTTCAGGCACCTCACCACTTTCGAGGCCCACATCACTGCGCATGCCGGGTACCTGCGTCACCTGCTCCTGCAATGCGCCCCTGCAGAGTGCAAGCCCCGCGGCCCCGCCCCTCCCCGCAGCCCCGCCTCCCGTCCCCATGGCCCCGCCCCTGCGGGAGTACGTAGCCTCGGCCCCGCCCCTCCTCGTCGCCCCGCCTCCATTCCCATGGCCACGCCCCCGAAGGGTACGCAGCCTCGGCCCCGCCCCTCCTCGTCGCCCCGCCTCCATTCCCATGGCCACGCCCCCGAAGGGTACGCAGCCTCGGCCCCGCCCCTCCTCGTCGCCCCGCCTCCATTCCCATGGCCACGCCCCCGAAGGGTACGCAGCCTCGGCCCCGCCCCTCCTCGTCGCCCCGCCTCCATTCCCATGGCCACGCCCCCGAAGGGTACGCAGCCTCGGCCCCGCCCCTCCTCGTCGCCCCGCCTCCATTCCCATGGCCACGCCCCCGAAGGGTACGCAGCCTCGGCCCCGCCCCTCCTCGTCGCCCCGCCTCCATTCCCATGGCCACGCCCCCGAAGGGTACGCAGCCTCGGCCCCGCCCCTCCTCGTCGCCCCGCCTCCATTCCCATGGCCACGCCCCCGAAGGGTACGCAGCCTCGGCCCCGCCCCTCCTCGTCGCCCCGCCTCCATTCCCATGGCCACGCCCCCGAAGGGTACGCAGCCTCGGCCCCGCCCCTCCTCGTCGCCCCGCCTCCATTCCCATGGCCACGCCCCCGAAGGGTACGCAGCCTCGGCCCCGCCCCTCCTCGTCGCCCCGCCTCCATTCCCATGGCCACGCCCCCGAAGGGTACGCAGCCTCGGCCCCGCCCCTCCTCGTCGCCCCGCCTCCATTCCCATGGCCACGCCCCCGAAGGGTACGCAGCCTCGGCCCCGCCCCTCCTCGTCGCCCCGCCTCCATTCCCATGGCCACGCCCCCGAAGGGTACGCAGCCTCGGCCCCGCCCCTCCTCGTCGCCCCGCCTCCATTCCCATGGCCACGCCCCCGAAGGGTACGCAGCCTCGGCCCCGCCCCTCCTCGTCGCCCCGCCTCCATTCCCATGGCCACGCCCCCGAAGGGTACGCAGCCTCGGCCCCGCCCCTCCTCGTCGCCCCGCCTCCATTCCCATGGCCACGCCCCCGAAGGGTACGCAGCCTCGGCCCCGCCCCTCCTCGTCGCCCCGCCTCCATTCCCATGGCCACGCCCCCGAAGGGTACGCAGCCTCGGCCCCGCCCCTCCTCGTCGCCCCGCCTCCATTCCCATGGCCACGCCCCCGAAGGGTACGCAGCCTCGGCCCCGCCCCTCCTCGTCGCCCCGCCTCCATTCCCATGGCCACGCCCCCGAAGGGTACGCAGCCTCGGCCCCGCCCCTCCTCGTCGCCCCGCCTCCATTCCCATGGCCACGCCCCCGAAGGGTACGCAGCCTCGGCCCCGCCCCTCCTCGTCGCCCCGCCTCCATTCCCATGGCCACGCCCCCGAAGGGTACGCAGCCTCGGCCCCGCCCCTCCTCGTCGCCCCGCCTCCATTCCCATGGCCACGCCCCCGAAGGGTACGCAGCCTCGGCCCCGCCCCTCCCGGTGCCCGCGCGGTGTACCTGGTCTGGAGCTCAGGCTCCGCCCTGCGGCACCAGAGAGCGCCCTGGACCCCCTGGGCCCACTACCTTTCCAGCAAACGCGGGGTGACCTCACGGTGCAAATTGCTCAGCTCTTGCAGTAAATCGCCTGCCCCACGTTTTCTCCAGTAGCAGAAATAACACTTTCCATTGTTTAAAAACAACGCTGGAGTGTTTAAAGCGCACCAGCCGTTCCTTAGGCAGGAAGACTAAGAGCTCCGTATGTAAACCGTTCCCTGTAACGATGGCCGGTTCTGAGCTAGTTAGGACAAGGGGGGGAAACTTGACATTAAATATATTAAATGTATTTACCTTTTAGATATGTTGCATATGGTAAAGTATAAGAAATTTCTTAGCAACAGTGTATGGAAATGCTGAGAGGAAGGACTGAACTTCAGAAAACCGGTTGCCCACTGAGGGGGTTGTAAGTGGTGGTCAGGAAGGCCCAGCCGTGAGCCTCTAAACGTGGGACACTGGCTGCCTGCTGGCATGTCCCCTCCTCTGGTTTCTGGTGCATTGCTCTTTCTTGTCATTGGTATAAGTTGCTTATAATTTATCTTTATTTCTCAGCCTCCTTCTATTCAAAACGAAGAAAAAGATATGAAGAAAGAGGAAGAGAGGGAGCCTGACGGTCAGGTACGTTTGTGCTAATGGAAATAATCTGAAATACTACCTATAATCGAACTACGCTTCTATAGTCAATTACCAAGGGTTTTTAAATGAAAACAATTATTAATTAAATTTTGGGGCACAGTAGCATATTTAAAACTCTGCAACCTTAGATACAAGATGTCTTAACCTAGAGATGAGCCAGCCACAGAGCTATAAAGTGCCCCTTAGTTTACAAAAGTTGAGATGATACAGCTTTTCCTTCGTGTTCAGTAAACCGGCTGCTGTGCTTTTTCCGTATAAATCACTGAGACAGCCTGAGAGTGTTTATCGAGCATCAGTGTTCGGTAGGCAGGTGCACAGGAGGCCTCCATGGCCTCAGAGGGACCAGTCTGGGTGAGGAGTTCAGACAAAGGCAGGAGACAGTAAAGTAAGGTAGTGTGCAAATGAGTGCTGGATCGTGCGACTCTGTGGCTGCGTGCGAGTGTGTTACACGTGAGAGAGGCAGTGGTGCGGGGGGTGTAGCCACGGACGGTGACCTATGCCGTACTGAGAAGGGGCGGAAGTTATTTATTGCTGAGCAGTTCGTGTACGTTAACCTCAGGGTATTTAATGATTTTCAGGTGAAAAATCAACCAAATTTCATAAAAGAAAGATTGAAGCTTTTTGAAATGTTGAAGAAAGACCATCAGCTGTCATTTGCCAATTACGAAAAGAAGGGGGACGCAGGCGACGCAATCACAGTCCGAGTGGCCGGCGGGGAGGCGGTGGCCGGGAAGGTCTGGATAACCACGCCGTACCACGTGGCTGCTGGCCTCAGGTGAGCCAGAGTTTGGAGCGGGTGTTCGGTATAAAGCATCGTGCCCGAGCGTGGTGAAAATGTGTTCTTGGAGATTACTAACATCTTGTCTTCTGACTCATTGAATGAATTACATGTTAATCACTGCATTTTCTCCCTCTGGCTTCTAAAGAGGCCGTTTAAATAAGTGATCGAATATCAGAACGCAGTCTCCTCTTTCAAAGGTCCAAATTTTAAAGTTCTAATAAAAACGTATAGTAGAGAAAAATGTATAATCCTTGACAGGCCCCATTACATTGCCTTTGTTTATTATCAGGGTTTTTCCATAAGTTTTTACAGGTCTTTCGCTGGACGAGGGGTCAGGAAGCTTAACTCCAAGCCATTGTCCCACCGGTAACTAACGGTGGGTGGTTCTATGAACTGACTCAGGCAGATCCCTGTGGCACTCCAAGCTTGTTTTCTTACCTGTTCAGTGGAAATAATTATACTTTACCATTTACCTTATGAGGCTGTAACGGCTAAATGAAATACCGTACGTGAAAAATACTCTGAAAATTAAAGTGTCTCTAGAAATGTACAATCTATTAACTATAGATCGAAGATGTATGTGTCACAGTTATCATCGGCCTGGAATGAGCACTTCGACCTTCCTCGAAATCGGACGCATTACTGAAGTTTTGTTGTTTTGACTAACGTTACTTCCTAGCATTAAACGCAGTTCTATAGAGCTACGGCACGAAACTGCCACGTGAATAAACTATTTGAAAACCAAACTTTTGCGACAATTGAAATCCTCAGCTGTCCTTGGAAAGCTGTGATTAGTATTACATTTCTATTCTTCCTATCACATTACGTACCCTCAAGACCCCTCCCAACCCGTTGCCACATTTCCCAGGAGAGATGGATAGAAAAACGGGTTTTGGGCAAAAATAAGTTTATGTTAACTCACGAAGAGTCAGGTTGCAAGTTCAGCATGTTAAAGACCGAAGTCCCGCATCGGAGACACCTGTTCAGGGTTGGGAAACCAAGTTCTTCATTGTGCACTTATTGCTATGCGTTTCTGCAGGGATCCAATTTAAAAACTCTACCCACAAGTTTAATGACAGGTTGCAGGAGCGTCTACAAAGTAAAATCGTCCAGGACGAAAAGACGGGCAAAGCTGTAGCAGGCAAAGCAGATGACGAAAAAGCGATGGTCATCATTTTACCGTCAGACCACAGAATTCAGGGCCAACATCACGGACGCTGAGGCTTGTTTAAAAACAGATGAGCAGTATAATCCGTGCTGACTGTTTGTCATGAACCTTTACGAATTAATTAACACAGCCTCTGATAAGAAATAGGGAATGGCAGAAAACTGAGCGGTAGACTTTAACATGTTCTTCTCAGCTGACAGATCAAATAGATACAAATTAAGATCGTCCGTGTCTGGGTACGAACACGGGGGCAGACGCCACGGCTCTCCCTGTCTGCCGGCGGACACGCGCCTGCATGGCCATGCTTTCGGCTCCACAGAATCTTAATAAAACGCAGAAGCACACAGCTCACATTCCGTGAGTAAAATGAAACCAGTTACGAACTCAGCGACCAGATCACATAAGAGCAAAATGAAAATAAACAATAACATTTGGAAATTGGAAAAAACTTCAAAATAACTCAGGGGGAAAAGAAAGAAAAACAAGCACAGAAATCTTAGAAAATACTTCCGATGAGGAGAACGCATTTCCGAATCTGCAGACCACATCCGGAGCGGCGATCAGAAGGTTCGCGGCGGTGGAGGCTGTTCTTTTCGAATAAGAAGGAATAAAAAGAAGCCGAATTCAACTCGGGCGGTTAGCAGAACGATTAAACGAGGAGGAAACTCTGAACAAGTGAATTAGGAAACAGTGTTAACTGAGAACCTTAGAATAAATAAGGGTCCAGTGAGGTGGCTGGATATAAAATAACGTTTATAAGCATTAGCTTTATTAAATTATACTGCTCTTTCCTTGGTGAACAGAGTTGATCGCATAGATGATAATTCGGTTCCGATGAAGCCTGTCTAAGCATAACACGCGGGGCAGAAATCATTAAGGAAAAGATGACAGTCAGACTACACAGAGATGAAATGGGAAAAATGGCTATGCGTAAAGGGTACAAAAATGGGAATGAGAGATGGAAAAAATGTACCATATAAAACAAACGATTGCTCTCTGTTTTTCATATTAATAAGAAAAAAGATGAAACTTCAGTAGAGAAAAAGACGATCTTAGAAATACATGTTAAAATAATTATATCATCTATTGATTTGTCAAAGAGGTATGAATAATAGTTAATATTGATGCCACTTTGGGGAAGTGGCTCTGCTGGAGGGAGGGTGACTAGGTGCGGTCTCTTTCAAGCTTTTTAAGCCTTAAAAACGTGGAAACTAATCCTCGGACCCAGTAACTCTGTAAATAGCCGTTCATCCTAAGCAATGCCTCAGTAGAAAAAGTTGGTGAAGGACAGTTTCTGTAGTTCACGAAAGACTAGTTCTCAGAATGTGGTCCCCAAACGGGTAGCATTAGCGTCCCCAGAACTCGTTAGACGAGCAGGTTCTTAGGCCCGGTCCCACAGCCCCGAGTCAGTTAGCGACCTGATTTATGACAGGGGCTTCTGGTACAAGCTGAGGTTTCAGAATCGTGGAGTGAACGAAATCGCTGCGGAAAGAGACCTCCGAAGTTAGTGGCTTCGATGAGGTCGACAGCACATGACAGTCAGAGATGACCAGTCCAGGCCGGTGGACGTCTCTGGTCCACGCAGTCCTTTATGGACCCAGGCGCCTTCCGTCCTGATGATCTGCCATCCCCTAGTCGGGTTTGTCCACGTCTAGGGGTGGAAACTGGGTCCCCTCCATGGGCCCGCCCGTGGGCGGGGGTTGGGGAGGAGCAGCCGGGTCCCCTCCTGGACAGGGGGAGGAGCAGCTGGGGAGCAGCGTTACTTTGAGCCAGGACCCCAGAGCCACACGCTTTAGTTTCCACTTACATCCCATTAGCCCACGTTTAGTCACGTGGCCACCCCAGCTGCAGGAGAAACCGGAAGCGTAGCTCCTGCTGACCGGCCACGTGTCCAGCTAAAGCATCGTCGCCGTGGGGAAGACGAAGCGTGGGTTAGGGGACAACAGTGCGCGCCTCTGACACCCACATAGCTGTGAGCACCCTTCGTGCCTCATACCACCCACTCGCTCCCTTCCCTGGTGAGACAGGTCCCAGCAGCTGGAAGGCTGGATTTCCCAGTCGGGCGCAGCAGCTCCTCGCACACCAGCCAAGAGGAAGCTGCGGGGCACGGCTGCCCGAGCCACACGTGTCACAGCGGGGGAACGAGCACGAGGTGGTAGCGATGGGAAAATGCGCGTGGCGGACAGGGGACAGGTGCCCAGAAGCCGCCAGCCCCGGCTGCGGTGGCCGCGATCCTTACGGCTTCGCGCGCGTGTCAGTGCTTTCCAGAGTCTTCTCCTCACGTGCCACTTTCGTCGAATTTCAAACAACAGTAAACGTTACTGAAAACACATACGCACCTCAGTAGAAAACAGGCAGAGGACATGGACGGTTCGTAAGAGTTAAGGTGGCCAAGAAGCATTTACAATAATTAGTCATCCAATCAAGTAATAATTTTCAACATCACACTGGCAAAAATTGTAAAAATCTCTCGGGAAGCGTGGAAGCGGTACCCTCAGACCGTATTGATCAGGAGCCTTTCAGAAGCGCGTGTCCTGCGACCTAGCGGTTCTACTTCCGAGGGCTCGTATATTGATCAGGAGTCTTTCAAAAGAAAGACTCCTGATCAATACGGTATCCTGCGACCTAGCGGTTCTACTTCCGAGGGCTCGTTCCCAGGACACGGTCGCAGATGACAGAGCTGCCTGCGCGCAGGTGTCCGAGGTGGGCACGTGACCCAAGTGCAGGAGGGAAGCTCGCTGGCTAGAGGAAGACCATCCTTCTAGACTCGTGGAAGGCCATCCGATGGCGGGGCCGTGGAAAGCAGGCGACGGAATTATTTTGACAACGACATTAAGAAAAACGTGCACCGCGGTATCATGAGCATCTGTCTCGGGGTGACGAGATGTATGTGCGATCTTTACTTTCCTTTTCTCTCTAAGTTCTTGACAGTGAATGTGCACTATCACTTTGGCGCGTAAATGTTACAGAATGAAAAGTATGTGTCCCGTTAGCTAACGCTTGTACTTTCTAACCCCTTAAAAAGAGAAATAAACCCTGCAAGTTATTTTACCGTCTTGTTTTAACGAGTCGTCGCGGCATGTGATAAGTGGCTTTTCTCTCTCTAGTCAAGAACTGGCCGAAAGCACCGTGATAGCCAAAGTCAATGGTGAATTGTGGGACTTGGACCGGCCGCTGGAAGGGGACTGCACGCTCGAGCTGCTCACGTTTGATGACGAGGAAGCCCAAGCTGTGAGTATTTAAGGACCGGCAACCGAATTCGGGGATTTATGCCATAAACTGCATTATGTGCGAAGCCACGTATCGGAGTCATGAACGATGAGTTTTGTGGCCTTCTAAGATTCAATATATGTATGTTGGTGTTTAGTAAATATTTAGTAAGTTTTTATGGAACGAATATGTACAAATATCAGGGTTTTTTTAAGTGGCTTCTAGTTATCGTTTCTCAAAGTAATCATTTCCTTGAGTTAGAGTGCTTTCATGATTAAATCGAGGTGTGTTTGACATGAATTTAAATAGACTCTTAAACATGGATTAACTTTATCATTTAATATGTGTAGGAAGATTGGGAAAAAATTTTACAAACTCAAATGTCCTTTATATACTTATTAATGTGATAGTCTGTAAAATAGATACCCCATTTTCATGAAGGTGTCTAATACACATTGTCACTCAGCTTCGGAGTCCCCCTTCAAGCCGTTATACGCATAAAACCCGACCTGCGATTAGCCGAGGTTGCGTTAATTGTGATGCTTGTGAGAAATTTCTCGATTTATTAATCTATACTGTAAGAACAATATTTTAATGATTTTCTCTTTAAAATATGTAAGCTATAACCCTTAAATAGCTAAACAATATAATATTGATGAAGCCATTTTTAAAAGTGATCCAGAAAGTAATTTTTAAAAGAAATACGTAGCTTATAAGTACGATTTAGTTTTTCTCACATAGTTCTTAACAGCTTCATCCCAGACGCCACAAAATTTCGTTTATTCTGTCGCCGGCCAGTGTCCACGGCGCCGGGCGCATGAGGCAGACCCTGTGGGCTGCAGTGGGCGAAGCATCGCCGAGCGTTTAGTCATGGGGGGAGACAGTAAACAGGAAGTAAACAGGAAAACAGATGGCAGGATGCTTTCGGGCAGTGTCTGTCTCGGCGGGAACCGAGAGCAGGCCTGGCAGTCAGGTGTGACCCTCTCGTCGGGGATCGGCGGCCGGCTCTTTCCCACGCTGGCCGGTCAGAGTTCACCTGCAGCGTCGTTCCCGTGGCCGCTGGACTCCCATCTGTCAGGCGTTTGGGTGGCGGGGCGGGGGGACCCACCGAGTTTAACTCTCCCTGGGGATGTGGGCGTCTGGAGTTCTTTCCTCCCGGCCGCCAGTGACGTCGTAACAAAACGAAACACCTCCGTTGTCACGGGGAGTCTCAAGTGCCCTTCTGCCGGCCGTGACGGTGACAGGGTGCCTGGCGTCTCAGTCGAGTGCTTCCGCAAATACGCGTGGCTGTCGGTGAAAATGAGACTGCGATGTGCACCTCGTGTGCCGGGCGCCAGCCCCCGGCCCTGGCGTCTGTTGTCCCCTTGAGTCCAGCTCCCCGGCCGGACACTGTCTGGATCCCCGTTTTACAGACGAAGCAATGAGGGCCCAGAGTGGTTAGGTAACTTTTAGGGTCATTTAGTAACAGATTTTTTCATCATTGTTCCTGGATTTTGCTCCCCTGTTATGATGAACGTATCAACACCGACCAACTTATGAATATTTAGTGCCCATCCACGAGGAAAAAATCCCTATGGAAAAGAAAATCTAGAAAACTCCGATTTACAAAATGTTAAATTAATGATTTTGTAAAAGCATCCTCTGCTTTACTGAAAATTCCAAGTCTTTTATACAGCAGACTCTTACACTTTTTCTCACGAGGCTGTAGAATTTCCTTTTTGCTTGTAGAATTTTATTTTTCATTGAGTTCTCGTTCAGGGGTAGTCGGTATGTGGTCTTACATTCGTGACATTAGTTCCAGGTGTACAGAATGGCGATTGGACGCCAGCGATCTGCTGTCAGCGACCGATGCAGAGGCCTGGGCCGCGAGGCCCGACCCCTGGTCTGTTTCTGGACCGTGTCCCAGCCCGATGCCGCGGCCAGCCTGGCACACGGTCCCCTCGGTCAGCGAACTCCCGCCGCTCCGGTTTATTTTATCAAACAGCTCTCTGGTTGGAATTTGTGTCCTATTTAGTTAAGAGAGAGGAAATGTTGCCAGAGGACCCGGTTATCTCGTTTGAGGACCCGGTTATTTCGTTTCTTTGGCACCTGTACGTATTCGGTGACCTCTGTTAGTTTTAGTTTATCCATAACCCATCGATGCCTTGGAAATTCAAAACCAAATCATCTTTCCGGACTGGCCAGGCTGATGCCCCGCCCTGGGCTGAGCCAGTGAACTGCCGTGTTCACTGCTCGGGGGTCCCCGGCGGCCGGCACGCCCTTCCCTGCAACACCGCTTCCTTCCAGAGCCACCTTTCAGACGTCCACAGTCCCATGCTCTTCAGCACGTGAAGACTGCCGTGCAGACACGGACTTTCGTTAGCCTTAGCGATGACAAGAGCTGCCACCTCGGCTGCCTTGCCGCGTGTGGCTCAGCCCCCGGCCAGCGGGGTCTCCACGCGGCCACTCTGCTCCGTGCAGGCGAGGTCGTGGCCGTGGAGCTGAGCTTCGCCTCTGGGTCGCAGTGGCGGATCCACGCTGGACCCCGGCGAGGCTCCGGTGGCGTTGCAGACAGGGCTCGGACAGTGTTCTCGTCTAAGTGGGCCTCAGAGGTTTCTTTTCGAAGTGATGTCACCCCGTTCAAACATCCGCTCGCTTCCTTGTGCTATTTTACGAATCCTTCTCCGCGATCCGGTTTCGATGGCCGGTGGCCTCTGTCCTGTCCCCACAGGTGTACTGGCACTCCAGCGCTCACATCCTCGGGGAGGCCATGGAGCTCTACTACGGAGGCCACTTGTGCTGCGGTCCCCCCATCGAGAACGGGTTTTATTACGACATGTTCATGGAAGACAGGTAACGCCACGATCGCGCACGTCCGAACGCACGTTTCTAGCTCATTGTTTCCTAGGGGTCACGTGCCAGTTTAGTGACAGCGTGTGCTACGTAGTAGAATTGTAGATTACTTAATCATTTTTGGCAACTTCGTTTATGAGTCGAGATTCAAAGGTAGCTTCTCAAGTCGTTTTCTTCCTTTTCCTAGAAGGAAGTGATGCCCTGTTTAGCTGACACCGGAATCCCTGAGACCGTGTGACTCCCTAGGGGACAGTCAGTTCTTTTTCAATCCACGTAATCGGAGGCGCTGTCGCCCTTGGCCGGACATCTCGCACGATGGCCGCGAGGCGGGGTGGTTCACGGAGGCCTCGCGCTCAGTAGATCTGTGCTGCGAACCGCTAGGAACGTGCCCCCCACACGTACTCCTCACAGCTCTGAGGACACCGTCAGGGGGCCCTCTGACTCCCCCTGCCCCTCACGTCACCCCGCCACCCGGTCCTCCGGTCGGCCACTTTACCTCCTAAGTGGTCCTCCCGTCCTCTCGTGTCCTGTCCTCCGCCTCAGTGTGACCCAGAGCGTCTCTGCCTGGATGAGCATGGGTCGCTTAGCCTTTGCCTGTCCCCTCCACCTGCCTAAATGGCCTCCGTGACCGAGCAGCTTCCCCTCCGGTCACCTCCGCGCGGGGCTCGTTCGCCACCGCTGCTCTGTGCTCGGCCTGGCGACGGAGCAGGGGACAGACCTCGTGGAGCTGACGTCTGGTTGGGGCTCGGCAGTGAGCAGACAGGCACCCCCCGTCCAGTGTGGGGTGTGGGCCGCGACAGGCAGGTGGCCAGGACAGGTGCGGTGCCTCTGACGCAGGGAGCGGAACAGAGAGAGGGCCCTGCTCTGAGGCCGTCGCGGGGTTCATAGACATTTGGGGGAAGAACATTCCGGGGCCCCGTGAGACAGCCCTGGGCTGGGGCCCGTGCGGCTCGCGTGAGGAATGGCGAGGAAGCCACTGTGTCCGGAAGGGACTGAGCGTGAGCCAGGGAGTGACGGGAACGGCGGCAGCCGGCGCTTTCTCCCGGCCGAGGAGCCCGGCGTGAGGGCAGCGACAGGCGGGCGCGGGACACGGCTCTGACGCCTGTGCAGATAGTCGTGTGCGACACGCGAGGAGGATGGGACGAGGAGCAGGCCCCGCAGACGGTGCAGCGGGGACGGTCCCAGCGCAGAGACGGAAGGGGGCACCCACGTGACGGCCCAGGAAGCGGGGCACCCCACATGTGTCAGCCCAGGATGGGGGGGCTCTCCACTTGTGACGGCCCAGGAAGGGGCACCCCACACGTGATGGCCCAGGAAGGGGGGGCCCCACACGTGACGGCGCAGGAAGAGGGGGCCCCACGAGTGATGGCCCAGGAACAGGGAACCCCACGCCTGACGGCCCAGAAAGGGGGGGCCCCAAGGGGACCCCACGTGACGGCCCAAGAAGGGGGGGCCCCACACATGACGGCCCAGGAAGGGGGGGCACCCCATGCGTGACAGCCCAGGAACGGGGGCGCCCCATGGGTCCCATGCGTGATGGTCAAGAATGGGGGCACCCCATGCGTGACGGCTCAGCAAGGGGTGTGCCCCACGCGTGACGGCCCGGTCTCCCTCTGAGGAATCAGCTTAGTGACGGCGCAGGAAGGGGGGCCCCACGCGTGACGGCCCAGGAAGGGGGGCACCCCACGTGACGGCGCAGGAAGGGGGCCGCCCAGGAAGGGGGGCCCCACGCGTGATGGCCCAGGAAGGGGGGCGCCCCATGCGTGACGGTCAAGAAGGGGGGCATCCCATGCGTGATGGCCCAGGAAGGAAGGGTTCTCCACTTGTGACTGCCCAAGAAGGGGGGGCACCCCACGCGTGACGGCCCAGGAACGGGGGCACCCCACGTGTGACGGCCCAGGAAGGGGGGACCCACGCGTGATGGTCAAGAACGGCTCAGCCAGGGGTGTGCCCCACACGTGACGGCCCGGTCTCCCTCTGAGGAATCAGCTTATCTGCCTTGTGCATGAACATTTGACCCTCGGAAGTCCCTGTGCAATATGACACCAAATTCCTCAATCTCAGAAAGCCCGTCAGTTAGTGACAGATGACGGGACAAAGGTCCTCCAAAGGGGCACGCACGTGCCTGGAAAACCTGTGCCGAACCTCACCTGCTGTCCCCTGTAGGGCGGTGTCCAGCACGGAGCTGTCAGCGCTGGAGAACCTGTGTCAGACTATCATGAGCGAAGAGCAACCTTTCG